AGATGTATAGGAAGTAATCTTCTGGCGTCGAGGTGCCGGATGACGAACAGATACGACGCCAAAAAATAAACATCCGACAGAACGTAGACAGGGATGCCTCTCTTTCACCGCATGCTGTTTAATTCTTGTTTAATAAATATGGAATTTATTGACGTGGGTTACACGAGAAGCGGATTACAAGCGGCTCGGATAATTGCATAGCCTTGGACAAAATTCCCGGACGTACTAGTCATGCGGAATGATTTAGTTTTGTGCTCGGAAGAAGGCCTTCGGCCTAGCCACATAGGATCAAGTAATCTAATTCGTTTGTTATAATTACCTATTAAATAATAAATACTTCCAGTGGAAGATAGCGGTCTCCATGATGAAATGTCATGGAATAGCAATTGCGAAGCTTATTCGACTTCAGACAATGCTTCAGCTTGTTCCACCAGTTTGCGTCACAATATTAGCAGGAATATTAAATGCAGCTAGATACCAAAATTGTCACCTTGTTACCAGTTGCAGAAACAGACTAATATGAAGCATATACATTTTTTTTTGCTTTTCATATTTCAATTACACATTCATTACGTAATTTTTGGTGGGTCTCTGTTCAAAATTGCCACTTGACAGCAATTTTAAAATGTTTCTCAAGACTTCTAGCCTGACATACAGTATGGCGGCCAGCCTCTGGCCCGTATTGCGGTCACATGACTCTTGGCGTATCACGTGATTCTTGTTGATGCGCAGATAAAGCAAAAATCGGAGCGCCGGATAAGCTCACCCATGTCTTTTCATCATAGCAGCCTTATGTTTCTTACTCTTAGGCTCATTCTGCCAAAGATGAGAAATAGTGATTTACACTACAAGGGCGGAAATACTAACTTTACGAATGATATATATTTTCTGCATACGTGACGGTCAGAGTCAAAGTTGGAATTTCGAACGTGTTTCGCAACATTTCTGCCCCTGTGTCGTTTTATTTCGTGCTACGTTGCATTTGTTTGTTCTCGATTCAAGTACAGGATTTCATTAGCGACCCTTGACAATGAGATAGAAATCGACGGTGACGACGTGCTCGCTATATTTCTACTCTTAGAAAGGACAATCGTCATTTCCTGTGGGCAATCCATGGTGAAAAAAATGTCTAATCAAAAATAAGATATATCAGAAAATTCGGAATTACTAATCAATTCGTCTGTCGGTCTGTTTCCTAACTTGCCTAAACCTTTCAGTTGATGTTCTTCTCCAAAACTGACATTCCTTGATCAATTTAAAGGTACTCGAGGCCCTCTGAGTTCTTATGAACCCTCAAAAAAATTATCAAAATTTCCTCAAAATTGATTCCAAATATTTGGATTAATCTTTGTTCTCGGTTGGTGTAAAGGACGATTAAAGATAATGGTTATCATAATAAAATCTTATTCTTGTTGAATTAGTTAATTTTTCGAAAATTACAAAAGTTTAATTTTTTTCGGCGTTATCCTAGAACTACTAAATTGAAGATAGAGATAGTGTTATATACAATATTTTGACAATATAACTAGTTCTCGCGTAATCTTGTGTGAAATATAAGGAATTTCAACATTTTTAATTCATTCTCATAATCGTACTCTAAATATTTTCTTCAGATTTTCTCATAAGTATCAATGATGGAAAAAAATGATATCAGTCTCATTTCCGGCGATCTGTTTATTTTCGAAAATCGCAAAAAGCTAACATGTCAAAACTAGAAAGTTGATGAAACAGATTTTTGCAATACATTTTGCTAATACAAAACTAATTCTTAAAGAGCAGCTCTTTAAGGCAAAGGTCATAATTAAATTATTGAAAAACCAATAGTTCTTTTATAATTTGTGCTTGAAATTGATTCAAATTATAACACTTGTTTAAAATCACTTGAAATTCTTTCTTTAATTTTTTCACAGATAGAAAAAAAAAACATAAGAATGTCGCGTGTCTCATTTTCATTGTACTCTGTCTGAATTTTCCAAAATTGGAAATTTAAATATAATGCAAGGAAATATGTGTTGTTGTGGAACTACAAGATAACTTAAAGAAATCTGTTCTTTAAAGACATATTCAAATAAGGTTATATAAAATTTTTCGGAACTGTGAGATGTTTTTGCATGCTTTTGCGTGAAGACATTAGGCAATTTTACCCCGTCTTTTCTTCAATTACAGTTCGAATTTCTTCTTTAAATTTTCTCCTTTTATGTATCAAAAGGCAGTGTAAAATATGTTTGTCACATTTTCGGCGCACTCTATATTTTCGAAATTTGCATGGAGATGTCATTGCAAGTATCCAATATTGCAGATATATTTTTTCTTCAATGAAACCTCTTCTAAACTAGGTGCTACAACAGCACATATTTTCTCTCATTTATTGTAACGGCTTCACAACATTACCTGAACGTGCAAAAATATTGTTATCCTGTTTTTCCAAGTCGAGACAGTACCCTAAACAAAACCTAGAGGAAAAAGTTAGCAGAGAATGTAGCTTCTTAATGCGTCCGTTTTAGTGAACGGACGTTTTAGTTTAGTTTTTTCTGCTTGTAATGGCTGCTGTTAAAGGTGAGTAACTATTTTGTTAGCAATGCAGAAAAATCATACTTGGAATTCATTTACTGATGAAATAAGTTTTCTATAACTCAGGAACAAAAATGTCAAAATTTTTTTTCAAATATAGCTAATCTTGCGCTTGTTAAAAATTTATTTCTATTTATTTATTTTAAACTTTTATTCATTTTTCAGCTATTTATAGTTAAAATGATGGGAAGGGATTCTGGAATTCAAGAAAACGTGTGCAAATGATCTTCTTCCCCATTCGTCACTTACACTCTTTACCATTTTTTGACTAAATAAATCTAAATCTAAACCTGAAAACTAGGATTTTTGAAAATACAGAATGTTCAACGGAAATTAGACTTGAGCCATTCTTATAAGCGTCCTTTAAAATGTACCCAATGTATCCGTGTATCCAAGAAAAAATATGAAAAAACTTGGAGCATTTATTGAGAAATTGTTTTTTATAAATTCTTTTAATTTCAAGAAGAAATTACGCGCAAAATTCTCGTATTTAAAAAAAATGTACAGAATTTTTTAAAGAGCTAATATCTTAGAATAGGTTTATGTAAGGCAAAACATTTTTATCTTTAAATAGTTTTGAAATGTTAACTTTTGTAATTTTCGGAATTACAGAGAGATCGCCGGAAATACTACCAATAAGCTTGCATAAATGTCCTTCATCCTATCGAACAATAAAACTTAAGCAAAAACGGAGCTATTTTTTTGTTTGAAAATGTTCCAGGGGCTTCATAGAAAGAAAAAGGAATAGCTAAAATTTGAAAAGATTAAACATTCATTCATTTTTATAATTTATTTAAAAAAAACTGCATAACTAGTATAAAAAGTATTACAACCATTACTAAAGGCGAGAAAATATTACATTAATAATACTACGGGTGCTGTTTTAGCACCACTAGTTTTTATTTGCGTTGTTCTTCGGTTTTGTTAATTTGTTTTGGTTAATTAGTTCTCTGGTGTTGTTTGGTTGGTTTATTTGGTTTGGTTTGTGTTATTGTTTGCTCGTACTTTCCAAATGAAAACAGTACTCATTTAAAATTATTGTCACGCTTGAAGACATTTATTTTTAAATTTAAATAAACGAATCACACAATTCTAAACAGTGTGATTCTAAGACGGTAATCAATCTTTCCACAATGGTTTATATTTTTTCATAAACCCATGCCCTTTTTTGCTTTTTTTTGTTATTCAACTTCTAGGTCATTAACAACCACTATTGCTTGTAACGGTATGGTAACTGTGAGGGTAACACGATATGATGACGATAGGGGGTGAAAGGACCATGCCCGAGGCGGGACCCGAACCCGCGATCCGTTCGGTCCGAGATCGCTATGGCACTGCTGCCTTAGCGATCTCGTCCACCGGATCGGCTCTTTCTACTCTTTATTTAATAAGTATGTTACATCATTTTCAATTAATGCTGTGTAATTTTTTATAGATGATAATTCAAAAACTTCCGGAAAAGACTGCGTTCCTGGCACATCGTTTAAAGCAGAGGACGGATGCAATACCTGCTATTGCACCGCAAATGGTAGCGCTCTTTGCACTCAAATGGCTTGCCACCCCCTTCGGCCTGGTAGATGCGTCTCTGGGACATCGTTTACGGCAGCGGACGGATGCAATGTGTGCACCTGCTCCAGCAGGGGCATTCCTCGGTGCACGAAGCGAGGCTGCATTCCTGACCCGTCATGATGTGTTCCTGGTTCATCACCAGATACGCGTAATGACTGTTTCTGAGAAACTTGTAGCTGTGCAAGATGTACTTTGAATGCATGCATAAAACCAATGAAAAATGATAACCATGCTCATATTGATATTCATTACTTTAGATTTCACTTAAAAAAATTATAAGTCCATTATTCTATAAAACATTGTTTTCAAATATCATTATCCAAAGCTTGTCAGCAATTAATATATACATCCAGAATGCACCTATGTTTCTTTATTAGTAACGACAATCATTTATATTATTAATCAATATTTCAGAATTAAATATGACCACAATATTTTATAATATGACCTGAAGATTATTACCAGAGGTACATTTTATATGACTTGCAGTTATCGAACACAACAGTCTCAATTTGACAAAACATCAAAAAATGGAACAGTTGTTTGTCATTAAATGATTCATAATATTTTGACACATATTATTGTTTATTGACGTGTTTCCGAAACTAACAAATAGCAGGTATTAAAGAAGAAATGATTATAACTTTTATTATTATTATTATTATTATTATTATTATTATTATTATAAATAATTCCGCAAAATTTGTGTAAGGGCATGGCTACATTCACAGGTCAATCAAAAGACTAGGAAATCCAAGAAATTGCTTTGTTTGGAACAGCTCATATTTTGCGCAAATATTGTAGAGGCTCCGACGGCCTTTTAGATCTGCTCCTTAGGACACTTCTCCTATTTTAAAATTAAAATTCTCGATGTACAAAATATCTACCACAAAATGCTACTTTCCGACATGCCATTCATTCATCAAGAACTCAACTCTGACACTTAACCTCCAAACAGATAAACCGATAATTTAATCCTAACGGAGAGTTTCAAGAGCATCCTAACAGAACACTAACGGAAAGTTTTGGATTAATGTAGAAAATTTAAGTGAAAAAGAGACATTTTAAAAAGTGTTGGAGATATGATAGTGAATTTGATATATTTGTAATTTTATTCCTGAGCGACGTCGTACATTGCTTTGGCTCCCCTAGCGCTGTAACACCTGAGGTCTTTCCCCACCAGCGCCTTTTTCCAATTCCTCTTCGTCTGTAAGACCTGGCTCTGCATTGACCTCGAGTGATCTACACAAAACGCAGAAATGATTCCACAATTAGCGATAATCTGAACATTTATAAAAGAGAAGGTACCAATAACGTTCTATACTTAGTGAGATTTTTCTTTGGCACTGGCAGCTCGCAACGGATAGTGCATTGTTGCCAAATGTACAACTCTCGCTTAGCTGGAAGATTTTATTGTCCAATAAATTTCCTTCATAGGAAATCTCCATTGACGTTGCCGGTCTGTAAAGCCATTATGAAAAGACATGGGTGAGCTACAGTGCAGCCTTTCTGGCTTCAGGCAATGAGTTTCATGAACCACATTGCGTCACAATATTAGTGGGAATTTCAAAAACAGGAAGATCCAAATGACACATTATTACCATTATCACATTGCTACAAGTCATTGAAACAGATACATGAAGTATTCTTTAAATATTGCATCTTTTATTTCAACTAAACCTTCACAGTGTTATTTTTGGTTGGTCACCGTTGAAAATTGACACTCTATGCCACTTGTTTTTCAACACTTCTTGCTTGGCATGCAACATGGCGGCTAGCGTCTGGTCTGCCTTTTCAAACGAAGTGTCCGTTGTTTCGTGGTTCGTGACGCAAACAGATCACGAGTTCAGCAGAACAAGCAAAAATCGGTGCGCCGAAACAGCTCACCCATGTCTTTACACCGTGTGTCAAGCTTTTATGTTATATTCGAATTGGAGGTGCTCAAGGCGGTGACCCACCCCACGACATTCCATGAGCAACACAGGCTGGCGCGGCGGGAGCTCTGCTGTCATTCTCACATGGTTCATTGTGGTTATTTCATGTGGATCCATTATGGTTCATTGTGGGCCCTTCAAACTGTCATGTCCAAAGCTGCATCTCCCGTAGGACATGTGCTTACCTACTTCTGCTCCTCACAAAAACTGTTGGTGCAAACAAGCTCTCCTTGTTCATCGCAAATGCAAACATTGCATTCTATTTTGAAGAAAGTATTGGGCGAACAATCTACAAAAGAGAAAAAAGCTCTGTGTGACATTAACGATCTGAGACATCTGATAAGATTTGTCTATGAATAAGGTAATGAATGTTCATGAACTAAATATCGTGATACTTCCTCTTACAACATGGCATTGGAGAATTCAATAGAATACAGTAATTACTGAAAATACGCGAATCCGGTTTCTGCATTTTCGAACATTGGTGATAAGAGGAATGTTACGTTTTAATACTCGCAATTATATTAGATCATTTAAGATGATAACCACAAGTTCCACTGCATTTTTCCTCCACAAGTGCTCCACATATTGGCCACTACATGTTCCTCCTTATATTCCCATATGTTGTCCCATATGCTGCCCATTTGTTCACCGCACATAACGCACTGTTTACCTAAATATTCAATTGAAAAATCAAAATTTAAGTTTGCTAAAACGAAATCCTTTTATAGGCATTATGGGCGCAGATACTGCAGTTCCCAAAACCGCCATCTTTCTTTAGCGTTTTTTACACAGAGTGGATAATAATCAAGACAATTGTTCACACGTTGAAATTGAGCACGGAAACCAGGCCTATTTCCTCTCATCAAGCGAATTTACTTCAATTTAGAGGTAGAGGATTTTTCAAAGTGTTGCCATTAGGGTGCGTTTATGGTAACTTTTTAAAATCCGCATTGAATATTAAATGATTTTGGGCATTGTATTTAAATTAATCTTCATTAGAATATATATATATATATATATATATATATATATATATATATATATATATATATACGCACACACAAAGGACCCCACGATATTTTGCATGGGAGTGTTTGCATCAATCGTCCAGTTAAGTCGTATACAAAATGTTTAGAAGCCCAAGAATAGACGACGTTGTTAAGGGAACGAATAAATAAAGAGATGTGGAACCAATCAGAATAGAGCGCTCCGATCGACAACGACTTCATAAGACAACCAGAATCTGGCAAAGTTGTTAGATCGATTACCGTTGCTAGATTGGCAGGTTATAATGATTTAAGTGAGTTTGAATGGGGTGTTATAATTCGTCGTATAATATAGTCGACGCAAGAGAGATGAGGCATAGCATCACCGAAAAACGACCAAATCACTTTGATATAAAATTCCTTTTGTGAAAATAACCAAATTTCCCACTCCTCTCGCAACTAGCGAAGCGAGAGCTCAAGAAAATGTGCGCAGAATAGTTTATCCTGAATAGGGACGTGTACGTAACACGTTAAAGAAATAAAATAAGATAGTAAGAACTCTGATAATACACATAACACATATTTAGAGAGTGTGCATGTACTTACACTGGTGATCAGCGACTTTTGAATATTCTTCATCCATATCTGAAAATATTAATTTGGTTTATAACATATTATTAATACAGCATATTACTAATAATGTAACATGTTTTAAAATCATGAAAATAGTAATTTGATCTCTCAAAGAATTTGCAATAGTTCAGTAAACATCAATTATTTCCTCTAATGACTTGTTATAGTATGTGAATAAGCACCAAAAAATCTCCTTTCCAATGCACACTTTTTCAGATGTTGGGAACACAATATTTTGCGAATTTTGATCAAGTCACAAAATGTAGAACCATTTGACATAATTTATAGAGAAAGAGTTTTACAAGATACCATCAGAGCCAGATTTATCCATAAGCAAAATAAACAGTTGCTTTGCGCTCCATTTTTTTTTTGGGGGGGGGGGAGTGGCTGTGCCCCGAAAAAATATTCATAAAATACTTGTACTAGATACTAAAAGCGCTACAGAATGGCACAGACTTTTCTCGTACTAGTTTTCTAATTTCTTTGATCTGGACTAGCTTTTCGGTTTTGTCTCACGTCTCAGCTGTTATCTATCACCGTACAAAGTACATTTTTTTGACATTTTTTCAGAAAGTATTCTGCCCCTAATGGTAGAACTGATATATGAATTTAGAAATATTATAGAAGAATAAAACCTCGTCTTCTCTGGAAATATTCGTTGAAAATTTGGAGCGGTTTTTGAAAAGAGGTTACGTTTAAACGTTTGAACTGCGAATTTGAAGCCTTTTTCTCAGAAACTTTTGAGTTTTTGAGAAACTTCATTGGAAATCATTTGAAACACTTAGACTCACAAATGCTATACTGTATACTAATCGCTGATAGCATGAATATTAGCGGCGTGAGAGATTTTTCAAAATTATATTCGTGTACGCTTTGAAAAAACAAGAATACAATGTGCGTTGATGCCGTGTTATTCAGTGCATTTAGCACTGTCCGTTCAAAGAGTTTCAAGAAAAAAATTGGTATTGTTTTCGAGAAAGTTACGTAATGAAAATATTAACAACGTGAGAGAGATGTTAAAAAATTGAAATTTTTTTTTTTTGAAAAACAACAACAAAATAATTCAGCAAAATGGGTTTATGTAATCTGTTTCTGTACGTTTAACCACACGTTCAATGAAAAATAGAAGTGCTTCCTTTCTTTATTTCTAAATTTGCAATTTTTGAAAATGCAGGGTTCAACGAAAATAAGACCCACGCCATTCTTGTAAGCGTAGTCTATTCCATACTTTGCAAAAATTTGAAGAAAAAATATTGAGCGGTTTTTGAAAAACTGTTTTTTAATAAATTTCAATAATTTAAAGAATAAACTAGGCAAAAACTATTAGCTTCTTCAAAAAATTGTATATATTTTTTTCAGAGCTGATTAAACACCGACTTTGAGAGCTGATTAAGGTAAAGATCTCTATCTTCAATTTTGTAGTTTAGAAATGTTAAGTTTGTGGAATGTTCGAGAATATATAGAGTTTGTCGAAAATAAGACTAGCATAATATTTGTTATCCTTCTTTCATACACATAACGATGAATTAGAAACATTGTGGAGCGGGTTTTAAGAAAAAAATGTATTAAAATGTAAAATCTGCCTCTATTTCGCGGATACTTACATGAGAACTACTCATATTTTTGAAAATTTGATCATGACTATTTGAAGATCTGTCTTTAGAGAACAGATTTCATGTAGGAAAAAATCTCTATCTTCAATATTATAGTTTTCGAAAGACGACAAAAATTTTCACTTTTGCAAATTTTCGAAAAATCAGATATTTTAACGAACCATTGTCTTAATTTTCCTTTACGCTACCTAAGATCAAATCTTAATCACAAAATTTGAAGCCATTTTTGGGAAAATTGAAAACGTTTTTAGGCTTCCTGCAATGTACACACAAAAATAATAATATTGCGTTTAAACTCCTAAATCTTTGAGTTCGTTCACTTCGATCGGGGAATATCAATTTTGAAGAAACACGGCTGAACGAT